TTCGATTTGCTTTTGATCTCTGAGTTCCCTGGTTCTGGGAGCTAGTCATGGCAGTGGCTGAAAAACTGACCATCTTGTCCACGAGTTTGCAGAAGGGGGGGTGCTTTTGAAGTGGTCAAAGGCCGCTCGGAAGGGATACGACTGGTGCCTTAGCCCACTGGAAGCCGGTCACAGGCGGTCTCCCAGCACGGAGAAGGCCGGAGGATGCTCTTGAGGGGTCCCTGGGCGTCGAACCACATGGATTAATATATATATATACACACTCATTAACATACATATATTTATATATTATAATTGTATAATATATATATATATATTATAATTCTATATATATATATACCCACAATTGTTTACCTTTCAGGATTGTCATCATCTGAATTGGGTCCCAATGAGATTCTTTTTATGGGACCACTAGATGAAAGGACCCACTATCGGCGTTTCGTTGAAACAACAAAGGCCAGCTGAGGCCAGCCATGTCTTAGGAATCCCCACTTCAACCTGAGCTGAATCCAGCTTGGTGCTTGCTCGCGTGTCAAATATTCGCGTTTGATTCTGCGGAAGGTCGGGAAGTTGTTTGCCGGTGGCTGTGTTCCACATTGTTTCTGATGCACAGAGTTGCACCTGGAAGCCCTTCATTCGCTTCGATCTGCCTGCCCACCAACACGTATTACCCATAAACTTATCAAAAGGGCAAGGGGCAAAAGGATTGTGCGAACCTTCAAAACCACAATCTTCTCACCGGCTTTTGCACCAATGGGGGGAGAGGCAGTTTTTGGTTGAGCAACTTATCCAGTCTGACTTGCTAACAGCAGTCAAGGAGAACGCGTCACCTAAGCGTGCGCACAGCGCGGCCTTTAAATTGATCAGTTGTTGGCCCTGTTCGGTATGTGCTCTGTAAACAACAGGACAGGTAGATATCCAAGCCATTACCGCGATGCTATCCAGCATTCAAATAGAGTGAGTGTTTCATGTCATGTCATCGCGGGGGTGATGATACCGGTTTCAAGCACCATGTACAGCTTTGCCGCGGGAAGACAGCAGTGTATCAAATAAACATGGTACGAGCACTGCACGATGTTAATGATGGTGAAAAGGGCAGCTACCTTACTGACGCGGATGGAACTAATGCTCCCAAGCAAGCTTTTCTTGGCTCGATGATCTTGACTTGGAAGAGTCACATACAAGAATGGGACCAGATGGGTTCATACGCGTGCTCATGTAAATATATCCAAACAGACACAAACATACACACAAATATTGCTATATGCCAGCATCCATTTGCATTCTCAGCATCCACTCCTTGTTAGCCTCCAGTTGCCACCTATTCCTTGCTGGTGTTGTGGGAATCGGCGGGGTTTTTGGGAAATAAACCAATGGCTCAATGGCTCATTTCCCGCAGATCGAAGCGGCCGGCGTGCGCTGGTCAGGCACCATCGCCCTGGGGCAAACGGGGACAGTCCGCCTTCTTCAGCATGGCTGGAGCCTCATGGCGCGCTGAAGGCCCCTCCCTGGCTGTCAGGTGAGAAAGTATGGTTGGTTGGTTGGTTGGTTGGTTGGTTGGTTGGTTGGTTGCATGGTTGGGTTTGTTCGGTTGGTTGGTTGGTTGGTTGGTTGGTTGGTTGGTTGGTTGGTTGGTTGGTTGGTTGGTTGGTTGGTTGGTTGGTTGCATGGTTGGGTTTGTTCGGTTGGTTGGTTGGTTGGTTGGTTGGTTGGTTGGTTGGTTGGTTGGTTGGTTGGTTGGTTGGTTGGTTGGTTGGTTAGTTGGTTGGTTGGTTGGTTGGTTGGTTGGTTGCATGGTTGGGTTTGTTCGGTTGGTTGGTTGGTTGGGTTTGGTTGGGTTTGTTTGGGTTTGGTTGGGTTTGGTTGGTTGGTGCGTTGGTTGGTTGGTTGGTTGGTTGGTTGGTTGGTTGGTTGGTTGGTTGGTTGGTTGGTTGGTTGGTGCGTTGGTGCGTTGGTGCGTTGGTGCGTTGGTGCGTTGGTGCGTTGGTGCGTTGGTGCGTTGGTTGGTGCGTTGGTTGGGTTTGTTGGGTTGGTTGGTTGGGTTTGGTTGGGTTTGGTCGGGTTTGGTTGGGTTTGGTTGGGTTTGGTTGGGTTTGGTTGGGTTTTGGTTGGGTTTGGTTGGGTTTGGTTGGGTTTGGTTGGGTTTGGTTGGGTTTGGTTGGGTTTGGTTGGGTTTGGTTGGGTTTGGTTGGTTGGTGCGTTGGTTGGTTGGTTGGTTGGTTGGTTGGTTGGTTGGTTGGTTGGTTGGTTGGTTGGTTGGTTGGTTGGTTGGTTGGTTGGTTGGGTTTGTTCGGTTGGTTGGTTGGTTGGGCTTGGTTGGGTTTGGTTGGGTTTGGTTGGGTTTGGTTGGGTTTGGTTGGTTGGTGCGTTGGTTGGTTGGTTGGTTGGTTTTTGGTTGGTTGGTTGGTTGGTTGGTTGGTTGGTTGGTTGGTTGGTTGGTTGGTTGGTTGGTTGGTTGGTTGGTTGGTTGGTTGGTTGGTTGGTTGGTTGGTGCGTTGGTGCGTTGGTGCGTTGGTGCCTTGGTGCGTTGGTGCGTTGGTTGGTGCGTTGGTTGGTGCGTTGGTTGGTGCGTTGGTTGGGTTTGTTGGGTTGGTTGGTTGGTTGGTTGGTTGGTTGGGTTTGGTTGGTTGGTTGGTTGGTTGGGTTTGGTTGGGTTTGGTTGGGTTTGGTTGGGTTTGGTTGGGTTTGGCTGGGTTTGGTTGGGTTTGGTTGGGTTTGGTTGGGTTTGGTTGGTTGGTGCGTTGGTGCGTTGGTGCGTTGGTGCGTTGGTGCGTTGGTTGGTTGGTTGGTTGGTTGGTTGGTTGCCAGTTCACCACCCGTTTGGCTATTGTTTGAATGAGGATTGCCTTTAACCAAACAGTTGGTGGACCTACTTCCCCTGCATTTTGCAGAGGGTCCTCAGCTGAACTTCACACTCACTTAGCAAATGCACAACGGGGGCAATCTTATTACAACGGGGGGTATGTTACATCCATTTGCATCAGATACTGAAGATTCCCAGGCATTGAAGGACACAGCCATAGCGGAGCCTCTTGGGTTTGACATGCTCAGCAAATGGCAGGTAAGCCGGCCTTGCAGGGACCCTTTGCCTACTGAAGCTCATGATTGCAGCATCCAAGGGATAATCATACAGACCTAGAGAAACAAAGCTGCAACCGGGGGATTGGCCGAGAATCACCTGCACATATGCTGCACCTGCGTTACCCAACCAGCATCCAGTTGCTTTGTGCTTCTGAGTACTGCTTTCCATTGGACTCGCGCACCATGTCCCACACGGCCCCGCATGAGCGGCGCTTATTCGTCGATCGATCCGCGATCCGTGGCCTGGACGATGAATGCCGCAACCCACGTGGTTACGTCTTCTTTTCCTGGAGGTCTGAGGACTTCCCGTTGCTTCACAGATTGATACGATCATCTTCTGAGATATCAACATGAGGGTCCTTGTTATGCAATCAGCGAAGATCAAGCATTTTGTACTTGGTGCTCAGACAACCTGCTGCGAAGCAAGCATGCCAAAAGAAGAAGGATGAGTCTCCCATGCGTGTTCCATCCGCCGTACGTAAGGCATCAGATGCCAACAGCGACTTCAGACCCTACATGGAGGATGGACACCAGGCCAGCGAGTCAGGGAGTGCTTTGCGCATGTGAAAAGTCCAGTTGAGTCACAATCAAAACCGATTTCATAAATGGTTGCGGCCGCCTTTTAAAAAATTGTCAATTATCTACATGGTTCTGGGTTCACCAGTTTTTGCACAAGCTGTTGATTCTGACTCAGTCGGCCCCCTGTCAGGTGCTCCATGTGTCCAAACAAACCCACTTCCCTTGAAACTGAGCTAAGCTGATTGAGATCCTCAGCCTGATTCTGACTTTGGCCCCCTTGTTTTGGGATCCCAGTCATTGCAGTCACAAGGCTTTGGTTTTTTGCTCAATCACCGCCTTTACATTCCCAGGTCTTCCATTTGGTCACTTTCTGGCGCTCTGGACATTTGCTTTGCTTGTGTCAGACTTTGAGCGGAAATTAGCATGAGTTGGCCAATGTTCTCCCGGAAAATGGTAAGACATCGGCGGGAATTGAGCGGGAGATGAGCGGACATTTGAACAGCACACACACCAGAAGCGTTGGGTGAAATGAGTGTTGTTTTGCTCGAACCGGAAAACACGCTGAACAGAGTGCCCAAGAAAGACTTTTTGTGCTTTCCCATAGCAATGAATCTGCTATAAGGTTCGCTGGAGGCACTGGGATTGTTTAAACCCTGGCTCCAGCGTTTGGGTCCCTTGGAAGCATAGCGACAACCCAAATTCATTGTATGTTGGTTTTCCATCCCATACATGATTGAAGTCCTTTAGGTTTCCCAAGTTATCCACGTGGCTGACCCCCCCCCCAAATTCAGGTCGCTGCTCACATAAACAGGTGGTCCAGCCGCTGCTGAAAACCGGCAGCCGAGACAAGGAGGAGCCGTTGACTGCGGCCAGCGCCGCTGAGAGGTTGCTTTGTGCGAAACCAGTCAATATATTAGTGCTTGGCCACCAAAACCAGTTGTTAAAGGATTGATCATTCTGGAGTGGCCCCAAATGATATGTCAAAACGAGCTAGTTGCGCTCCCCAGCAACTTCTACTGGTTGCCCTTAAGGGGCACGGCCTTCCTACGCCTTGGTTTTTTGCGCTGCTCCGCAGCGGGGAAGGGCTCTTTCTTTTGATGCCTTCGGATTGCCTGGTTTTCTGCGTTGAGGTCTTTATGTCCCGCCCTTTCGCGAAATTTCCTTGCAAAAATTGTCCCCCTCCCCCCAATACAAAGCAGCATCGTGAAAAGACCGCCCTGACTTGGCACAAATTATAGCCCGGCAGGTTGTAGTCAGTTCTTGTCTTGTGGTGGGTTTGGGCAGCATGTGCTTCGATCTGCTTTTCTGGTATTCCTACATGTACTGCCGATTTGGACCAAACCCTCAAGCAGGTCACCATTTTCTCAATTCCAATCTTGCCAGAAAGAGATTTTGGAGCAATGAGGGCGGGACCGATTGAAATTTGAGGCCAGCCGCCGCACCAGCCTTGCATGCCTTGGTCCCAGGAGCTTTGGGACTTCTTCGCGGTCTACGATGGCCATGGCGGGCGATCAGAGGTTGACTATGTCGAGGCTCGGCGACGTGACGAATGTTGACCCCCTCCTTAACACCCCTCACAAAAGCAACATCGGTATGTGTTAAAAGGGGGACCCCAACAAGGTGGTTTTTCTTTTGGTTTCACCTGAAACTAACCTGAAAAGGGTAGCATCCAACAAACACAAACCCATATTGCTGTTTGTTTGCTTTTGACAGGACACTTTTCGGCCTGCCACTTGACTCGTTGGCATCCTTTCTGAGAGTAGGCTGGATGACATATGGTTGTCAAAACCGGGAGGGGTCAATGGGAAGCCAAGATGAAGACGACCATTGAGTGCAGAGCCCACCACATTTCCAGGCTGAGGCATGAAAAAGCCAGACAAGCATAGTTCAGATCCAACTATCGCGTCAATTCACGAAGATGGACGGGGATGCTCCGAGAGATTGCTGAAACTAGCCAACCATTTTTCAGTGACGCCCTTGTCTACATCCCTTTTGGTTTTCGGGGATGGCCCCAAAAGGGTTCGAATGGCTCAAAGGGAGGCCAAAACTTTACTCAACTTCAGACATTGTTTGGGCCATTTGGGCAGGCATCAGACCCCATTGAACCAACCTCAAAAGGTTCCATCGAAAAGCACAAACACCCAAGCACAGAGAACTAGCCACAAAGACCCACCAAAACCAAGGGTGTGGCAGGCAGACCTCCCATCGGACCTTAGGATGGGTGGATAAGTCTTCTTTGTGTTGGGCCATCTACTGAAGCTTGTTTTGTCGCACTGTTCTCGCTCTTGGTTCTTTCCTCTTTTTTTAAGGCTGCAAAAATACATCTGAAACATGTGGCTGTTGGCTGCCTGCACAAGAGTGGACAGCTCCTGTTGCCAAAAAAACACAGTTTGTTTTTGCTGGTGGCAAAGAAGCCAAGTAAACAGTTCCTGTTGCAAAAACAACCCACAAAACAACAGGTGAGCCACAATCAAAACGCGGGTTAATAAGGGGAAGTCCCAGCCAGAAATAGTTGCGGATATTTGCCTTCTTAATTCTTTACATGGTTCTGGGTCGACCATTTTAATACCGGGTTTTGATTGTGACTCAGGTGGTTCTTAAGCTGGCTGAGCCAAGTGGAGGCGCAGCTGCACGCCACGCTGCTGGCGGAGCTGCGCAGCAAGCGGCCCTTGGAGGCGCTCACCCAGGCGTTGCTTGGCGCGAAATGGGCGCCCCAAGGCCATGGGGGTTCTCCTTGGGTAAGTGATATGGCCATGGGTCAAAACAAGGTCCAGCAAAATGGAAGAGGGTTCCAACGCCAATGGGAGAGACCCATATGCCGTATGGCCATGGGTCAAAACCCAAATCGTAGCCCAGTGAACATCCCAATCCCCACTAAAATCGGTTCTAAAGTGGGTGGTGCACCTATCCCACAATGGTACCATTGGATTTGAACCATGGCCATACGGGGCTGTCCTTGTCTTAGGGGATTTCCGAAAATGGCGCCCTTGTGCTAGTCTTGGCTTCCCCTACCAAAAACAAAGCAGGCGGAAATCTGAGAAAACAAGACGCGCCCATATTCTTCCGTGGCATCCCCAGCATTACATGCAGCCCAAGCCAATGCCTTGGGCTTTCTTTCCGAGAACGAGAACCAACCTGAGGTCCAAATGGAGGTGTCAACTTTGTCAACACCCGATGTCTCAAGCGAAAGGAGACACCACCAAAAAGGGACCTCTTGGTACCGACGGGGACCATTGGGTTTCGGCCACAATCTGAAAAGAAGGGGGTCAGGTCGTGCCGCTTCGGCACCGGCTCCGAGTCTCCGAGGTTCAGAAAAGTGGACAGTCAGCTGGCCATGATGGGCGTCAGCGCCTCGAGTCGAGTGTTGATCGCCTTGCACAGGATACCAAGAAAGAAGTCTGAAGTTTGACTCTGGGTCGGGTTTTCAGGTTACCACCGTTTGGGTGTGTGTTGTTCGAGGGTACCCCTTTTGAGGCTGGCTGAAAGGGAAGACCACCAATTTGAGAGGTCTCCATACCCCATTTCAATGGACCTAGACGGAGCTGATCCCCCTAGTCTGTGTCACAGCCAGCCACCGAGGCTTCGCGGCGAGTTTCATGGCCGTTTACCATGCTGTAAGAATCCCTGAAATGAAAGGGGCAAAGTAAGAAGGGACAAAGTAACAAGAATCTGTAGTTTAAATAAAAGCATGTTGGAAGGCTGCAAGGGTAAGAATCCCTGAAATGCTCACAGATGGCGAGTTCGCAGTTCGCCCATGGGTTGTCATGCTCTCCCACTTGCCACTGACTTGGGAGAACCAGTGAGTCCGGATGCGGAGGCCTGGAACAGTGGCTGCACAGCCACTGTCGCCCTGGTGCAGGCGGGTGTCGGGATGGGTTCATAGTGGTTCTGGGTGCAGTATAGCGATGGTAGTGGAATGGAGCAAGAAGAGCACAAGGCAAGAATAGTTAGAAGAAGCAGAAGAGGAAGCACAATGAGAATATTTCTTGAGGACACCTAGCTCATTGTTTAACTTAGTGCGTGTGAGCGCTTGGCGGCTTGACACATGATCGGGCCGGAAAGGGAACGGGGAAGAGAACGCGATAGGAACCGTCAACCTGATTGAACATTGCTGACAAACGGTCAGAGCTTGAACACTGGGATTAGGTCATCATGCAACAATGACAGCTGTTCACGATGAGTGAACCAGATAGTGCGGCCGCCGAGCTGTTTCTATTACAGCAGCGCGTTGCTTCCATGTAAGAGCTACTCACATTCTTCTCATTCTCCACGCTGAGCGTTTTGTTTGTTGGCTGGAGGCACATTTTGGCATGCAAGGATCGGGGAACATGTGATGCCAGGACCTTACGTTCTAGAGTAATTAACCCCACAACAACAATCCATGAGTTTGTCATAGGGACACAATCTGAAAGTGGGGAGTTACATTGGTTGCCACGGACAAAATGAGTTCCATCGTGCATTCGCGGGTCGTGTTAGGCTTTTATGGGTCCGCGTGAGGGTCCTAAACTTGGTCCAAGGTGTTAGGCAAATCGACCATTCAGACCATGGTCTCCTTGATGACACCAAAAGAAGGCTGCTTTACATGACATCCAGCCCAAGGTCCCTTGAAGAACATGTTTCTTCCAGCATCCACCACTTAGGTTCCATGTTAGCATGTTGGCTGACCGAAGGTTTGGTGTGGCTGACAGCTGCGCAGTCCTCACGCTTTTCTCCGAGCACACCGCAGATAGCGTGGCAGCTGAAACAACCCACTCACCAGGCTTCAATATTCTTCAGTTTATTTTCACGCCCCCTTTTTGGATAAAGGGACCTGAAAGCCCCCTTTCGGTTGAAATCAAAGTTATGGTCGCCAACCGTATACGTATATTTGTTCTATAGTTTGACTACGGGGATAGCTGTTTCAGCACTGCGAAAGAGTTGTGAACCCCTTTTCTTCCATTTGCTTAAGAAGATGTCTTATGTTCCCCTGTTGGTTTTAAAAGGAATCTACCACTACTGGAATCCTGGAATGATCATTCCGAATTCTCCCGTAGATGCCAACAAACAATGGTTTTAACCATGGGTGTCATTTCGTTGTGCGAACGGATTTCGCAACCATCCACAGTTCTTTCCAGGAGACTTAAGCAAAGGGAGTCCAGGGTTGTGAGACCTTTTTTTTCCCCCCACTTCTGTGCTGCAAGGGAATCCCCTCTTTAGACGGGGGGTAAGTCTTCGGGAGGGCCTTTTTGTTGCATCTCAGAAGCGGTCATACGGGAGCAAATGGCTATGAACTTTAGTGGGACACCCCTTCAAAAGTGGTTGGTGGACATCTCTTCACCGAATTTTGATGTATTTCGGGTCCCTACTTAAAAATCATACCCACGTTTGCTTTTAAGGGGGGTTAGTCGTTGGGAGGGCCTTTTTGTTGTATCACAGTGGTTCCATTTCCGACCGCCCTGTGGATCAATCTATTTCCCGGTTTGGACCCAGCGAATTCAGGGCTGCCGCTCTGTGCACGTGGCCAATGTCGGGGACTCCCGGGCGGTGTTGGTGTCCCCTAGCGGCGACTCGCGCAGAGACGGGAAGCCCAGCTGGGAACTGGGGGGAGCTGTTTGAGTTGGTACCTGTTTGTACACTTTTCATTGACGGTTGCCGTGCGGGTGCTCCACTTTTTGTTGCCTTGGTGTGCAATCCAACCCATGATGAGAAGGGAGTTTCTTTGCTTTGGCTTTACCTCACAGGCGAGGAGACATCTGTCCTTCGGACAGCAGTGTGCTGCTTGTCTTTGTACACAATCGGGACCATCGAAATACTGGAACACGCGTCTCTAGACAGCCTATTGCTCCGGTTGATGGACAATCTGGTGTGACTGCAGTGCTTGGGGCCATCTAATCCATGCCACTGGCAATGAGCACGGCTTGCACGGCGCGTCCAGGTGAAGGTAGAGTGAATTTTCCACAAGTTATCCACTTGCCTGTCACATGCCTGGCATTGCATGGCCAGCAAGCACTGGATGTGAGTTTCTGGCGCTCACATGCGTAGAACTGTTTTACTTGCGCAACATAAGCCATATATATATATATGTAAATATATATATTTGTTTATTTATTTTTTTGTACGGTGTCAGGTCATATATATATATATATACATACACACATATCATGTATGTATATATATATAGAGGGATATTCCGCACAGAGGGCCCTAAAAGTTTGACACACTTGATATTTCTGCGACATCCCCGAAAGAGAGAGGGGAGTTGACACCAAAGAGGCCTGATCATTTGTTGCTTTCTGTGGGGTCTAAAATCGGTGGGTCCCTACGGACTGCGCAGGTCTCGGTGGACCACAGAGCCAACGATCCAGAGGAGGCGCGCTGTGCACATCCCAGTGGCTCCATTTAATTTAGCTTTTGGTCAAAGGGAACCTTCCCAAAGTAAAAGACAAATGGCCTGTCTACTTATATGGATATCTTGGATCCACAAAGGGACACCTGCCCGACAACCCCCAGGAAGGGACCAACTGTCCAGGGTATTTTGCGCTACAGTACTCCCCTGCATTTTTGTCTTATGGAGCTCGAGAAGGGGGGATCATCCAAAGGGCCCCAGCCCTCCTTCCCTCTTGGTATGTTTTGCTCACTCGAAGTAGTCGACCCAAAGGAGGTCCCCTTGGCCAGGCTCACCGATCTGCGTTTCGGGGAAACTTCCCCGGGCCAACTTTTTCGAGGCGGCACGGGTGGTCTGCGACGGGGGCTTCGTGCGCCACGGCCGCGTGGCGGGGCAGTTGAGCGTCACCCGGTCACTGGGGGATCACCACCTCAAGGCGGGGCTGCGTCCAAGTTGGACTTTCCCATCCGGTTCCTGAAAACCCGGTTCGTGTCCACAATCCTTGAAGTACGGAAACCAAAAAGCGGCTGTTGGGACGGGGGGCGGGCTGGTATCGGAGTTGTCGTTTTTGGGAAGTTGGGCAGGCCCGTTTCGAGGGTTGCCCTTAGAGACGGTTGCCCTTAGAGACGTCTTTTGAAGCACAGCGTCACCCGTTGCAGCGCCTCGATGCCTCGATGTGTGGAGGAGTGCGGTGTCAGCTGCGTGCCCGACATTTGCACCTTTTCAGTCTCGGCCGGCGCCTGAGCGACCGGCCGAAGAAAAAAGGCGAGCTGGTTCCCTTACAGTGGACACATGACAACATCCTACAGTTGGTATAAAGGCGGTTTCTTTTGGGGCCCCGCACAACCCCGTAGAGTCTTACTCATCCCAACTGGTGCAGGATTTGCGCATAAGGCAAACACATCCAGCCACAAAGCCCTTGTGAAGTGCGGGAATTAGAGGGTTGCTTTATCCTGCCTGAAATATTGGGTGAAGCAGCTCTACAGTCACACACCCCAGAAATAGCACAGATTCCAGAAAGCGGACACTCAGCCCTGAGTGTCTGTGGCAGGTTGCTGGGGCCCGAGGAAAATTGGATGGGGGTGGGGTGCTTTAAAGTTCCACAATTCGCATGATAGGAGGGTGTGTCTTTTTTCAGTGAGACCCCAAACAACGTTGGTGTTTCTTTTGGTTTCCCGTTTCAATCAACCGAAAGAGGGTTCCCCCCAAGAAAGACAAATTTATAGGACAACAATGTAACTATGTAGCCCGCTCCGAGTTGGCCCTCGCTTCGGTCCGGGGCTCCCTATCAGAACTCAGCTGAGGAATCCCAGGGCTCTCAACTGCCCACCCCTTTTGTGCCTACCTTCCTCGCGGATTCCATAATCTTGAAATAGTGGACCGGGACCCAAAATGGCTGGCCCTTTTGGTTAAAAAAGAGACACAACCATTCGGGCAAGTAAGGGCGTGCGACCAAGCAAGATGTTGTTTATGGGAGTCCTTTTCAAAGGTGAAATCTTATGATTTTCCCAGTTTCATGCTGGTGTCCTATAGGTGTCCAGAGTGCACTGAGGCCTCACTTGACAATGCTGCTATGTTTAGCCTGTGGCTCTGTTGATCTTCAGCGCAGTATTCCCGCCCGTTTTCCCTTGCATTCACGTTGTTTGACGGGATGCACACACACACAGACACACACACACAGAATATGATATACGTGTATATATATATATATATACACATATGCTCTCAACCCCAGCCATGATCCACTTTTTCTTACTCGACTGTACCAATTGTTTTTCGCGATGTGTCATGTTCCATCTGCAAGCCAGACAAATCAGTTTCACCTTTATCCGTCACATCTGCAAGCCCAAAATCCATGCCGCCTGCTTCTTGAATTCGACTCAATTTCCGTTTCAAATTATTTGGACTCAATTTGGAAAGGACATCATATTCAATTTAAATTGCAAATTGCAATTGAGATTAGACTCCTTTCCCATTTACATTCTACTTGAAGTATTATACAATTAAAGTCGTATTTGGAACGACTGCTTTTTTGGCCCCTCATTAAAAACAGAACAGTTCGCTCATGTGTTCTTATGTTCTGTCCAATTGTTAATTACATCTCAATTAAAGTCCTATTTGGCGTACACTTCTATAAGGAGGTCATTGCATGTGATGCCTGTGTGTGTGTTCTGTTCCATCTGCAACTTGAAATCAACTCCGTTATTTGTTCAATTAGAACTTACTATACGAGTCCATCTTGAATAATTTGTACGGAACTTCTACTTACATCCAATCGAGATGCTTTTGGAAAAGGAACACATGCTTGAGTTCTAAATTGAAATTGACACTATGACTAAATATCTTCCCCATTACATTCTACTAACACAAATTGTTCACATGAAAATCATGGTTGGAAATGAGTTTCCCTTCAAACTAATATCCAGAATGGAAATTCGGTATCATTGATTGTTTCACTAGATTCTGTTCAACATCTTTTGCCACCAATCACAGCCTCGACAGGATCTTTTGAGGAGCTTTAGGAGGGCCATTTTTTTTAGGATTTGTTTGTTGTTTTTTTTTAGGAATTATTTTTGTTTTTCAGGGTGGGTGGCTTTTCGGCTTTTTGGCTTTTGTGGCTTTTACGTGGGTTTTTGTGGCTTTTGTGGCTTTTCATTTCGCATCCTCTGCATTCACAGTTCCTCTCTGTCGCATCCTCTGCTTGTGGCTTTTGGCGGCTTTCTGGCTTTGGCTTTTCGCATCCTCTGCTTTCCCAGTTGGTTTTTGGCCTTGGCTTCCTGCATCCTCAGCATCGCAAGTTCCTCTCTGGTGCCCCCCGCCACCCCCCTTTCGATTAAAATACACGCCTAATTGAATCATCACTTTTTCGATCATCAAATCCTCACTTGTGCCATGAGGCCTTGCCGCAGAGGACTTTTTGCCCCTATTTGAATCATCACTTTTTCGATCATCATGCGAAGGCTACTTTTTAGATTCTTTGCCCCCAAATTGTTCGATCATCATGGGGGGGCTGCCGCCCCCCCCCAACCCCCCCGCTATTTTTTAGACTTTTTGCCCCTGATTGAATCATCACTTGTTCGATCTGCAGGGACTAGTTTGCCCGTATTCCCTCACTTGTACCATGAGGCCTTGGCGCAGAGTCACTGATGCCCCCCCCGCTTTTTTTTTAAAAAAATATTTTTTTGGCCCTAATTGAATCATCACTTTTTTCAATCATCATCCCCCCCGACTTTTTGCCGCTGATTGAATCATCACTTTTTCGATCATCAGGCAGCCCCCCCCCCCAACTCCCCCGCGCCTTTAATTGAATGATCACTTTTTCATCATCATGGGGGGAATTGCCGCCCCCCACCCCCGCTACGTTTTAGGTGTTTTACAAGCATTAGTTTGCCCGTGATTGAATCCTCACTTGTACCATGAGGCCTTGCCGCAGAGGAACTGATGACCCCCCCGCTGCTTTTTTTTAATATTTTTTTGGCCCTCATTGAATCATCACTTTTTCAATCATCGTGGGGGGGGCTGCCGCCCCCCCAACCCCCCCACTATTTTTTGGACTTTTTGCCCCTATTTGAATCATCACTTTTTCGATCATCATGCGACCGCTACTTTTTAGATTCTTTGCCCCTAATTGTTCGATCATCATGGGGGGGGCTGCCGCCCCCCCCCCAACCCCCCCGCTATTTTTTAGACTTTTTGCCCCTGATTGAATCATCACTTTTTCGATCTGCAGGGATTAGTTTGCCCGTATTTGAACCCTCACTTGTACCATGAGGCCCTTGGCGCAGAGGCACTGATGCCCCCCCCCGCTGCTTTTTTTGTTTAAAAAATATATATTTGTTTGGCCCTAATTGAATCATCACTTTTTCAATCATCTTGGGGGGGGGCTGCCGCCCCCCCCAACCCCCCCGCTATTTTTTAGACTTTTTGCCCCTGATTGAATCATCACTTTTTCGATCATCATGCGGGGGGCTGCCGCCCGCCCCAACCCCGCAGCGCCTTTAATTGAATCATCACTTTTTCAATCATCATGGGGGGGCTGGCGCCCCCCCCAACCCCCCGCTATTTTTGGACTTTTTGCCCCTAATTGAATCATCACTTTTTCGATCATCATGCGACCGTTACTTCTTAGATTCTTTGCCCCTAATTTTTCGATCATCATGGGGGGCTGCCGCCCCCCTTCAAGGGGGGACTGCCCCCCAACCCCCCTGCGCCTTTAATTGAATCCTCACTTTTACCATGAGATGCGGGAAGCCAATTTTCTGGTGATGCTGACGATGTTGGCTGGACATGCGGGGGATGTTGAAAACGATGCTGATGATGTTGACGGACGCGTAAAATACGTACATTTCGCGAGAAAATGCAGTAACATACAGCATTTTAGTAGCCAGGACGGAAAACAAAAAAAATCCAAAAATAAAACAAAAAAAACACAAATTAAATCTCGACCCATTGCTTTATTCAGGAGCTTCCCAGAGGCCTTATAAGGAACTTTACAAGCAGCTGTAGAGATTTGCACAAGGGGAAGGAGCCTCATAGCTCGCCCTGCAAGGAGCTTTGTACAGAGCCTTAAAGGGATCTTTAAAGGGAGCCTTACCAGGAGCTTCTCAATGAGCCTTGTAAGGAGCTTTGTGAGGAGCTTGATAAGGAGCCTTGTAAGGAGCCTTGGCTCGTTATAAGGAGCCTTACAAGGAGTCTTAAGGCTTGAGTCAAGAATGTAAATCCAGCTGTTGAATTCTGCGTTCAAATCAAAATTATACTTCGACTCTTTGCTTATTGAATTCAATTTAGATTCCAACACTTGTTTAATCAAAATCCCATTTGGTAAGAGATTCCTCTTTGCAGTCTAATCCGCGCTGGTAAAAGTGTGCAGCAAAAGATGTCCAGCAAGGCGTGTGCATGTTCATATGGTCGCACCTTCAGGGAGCAAATCCCAACAAAAGCAACAACACTTGTTGAGTAATGCCCACAAACCAAAACAATGCCAGCTTCATGTTGTGTTGCTCTTTGGTTTTCTCGAGGTTACTTGTTTCTTGGTCTTCCCCCAGATAATAATTTTGACATTATCCCTCACAAAGACCATCAAACATTTAAGGTGGTTTGGGTGTTCAAACATTTGGCCTTGCCAAAAACAAGAGAACATCGAGCTGTTTTGGATTGGTTTGTGTGAGGACAAGCAATAAACTGACGGAAAACCAACAAACACAAAAACACCTCGAGAAAACCAAAGAACAAAAACCTGAGGCTGAAACCGAGGTTTCTCCCTCAGAAATTGTTTGTTGGTTTTCTCGAGTTGTTTCTTTCTGGATTTATCTCAGTTTGTTTGTTGCTATATGATTCAAAGTTTGCATATATCAAAATCAGTGTTTTCGTGTGCTTTGGTAAGAGTAACACACAAGAACTCGCTGTGAAACTGCATGCTTTTATGTCATGGCCAATTCAACGTGTAATGCCCCCAGGGACGACCAGAATCTGGTCAGGGGGTGAGCACATACCTGCTGAGAATTCTGCATCTTGAATATATGCATACAACTAAGAAAACACGACACTAGGCAGTCTAGCATTATGAATGTGTATTTTGCTATGTTCAATGCATTCACAATGATTCAACAGACTTCAAGACAAAACAGGTGGATCAAGGCATATATATATATATACATACATAAATGATTATACCAACATATATACACATACATAGATGCGCACACCCACATCCACACCCACCCACACGCACCCACAGACACACAGAGACACACACACACACAGCACACGCCCGCCCGCCCGCACCCGCCTGCGCACGCACTCCTGCACTCCCTCACTCACGCACGCTTACTCTCACGCTCCCTCACCCACCCACCCACGCACGCACTCACTCTCTCACTCTCTCTCTCACTCTCTCTCTCTCTCTCTCTCTCTCTCTCTCTCTCCGTCACTCAAACACGCACGCAACAAACACACACACACACTCACACACGCGGGCCCCTGAAAATCCCACCCCTTCCAAGGGCCAAAAGGTAAGCCGCGTGCAAAGGAGGGCCATGCCCTCATCATTGCGAGCGACGGGCTGTGGGACACCCTGAGCGACGACGACGCGGGCGAGGCGCAGTGCGGAGGATCAAAATGGGCATTTCTTCGGGGAAGTTCGTTTGGCGAGTTCTACCGGGAACCGTCCCCTGAGTTTAAGACTAAATTGTAAATCAGACACAATCTGCACTGAATATGGCGAGCTCATCTGGGGGAAAACAAGGAAGAGCATGATGCAAGTGCCTTGCTTAGAGTGCCTGAGATTAGGTTTGGTCCGCTAAACTGTCGCACATGGACACTTGCTGCTGATGCTTCTTCATGATGATTCGATGGAAGCAACCAACATAGATTTCTCCAGCAAGCCCTTTCGTCACCGGTCTGGCGCTAAATTATGATAAATGGTTGCGGCTCGCGATCTGGAGCTGTGGAAGTGTACCTTGTGTTTTTGTACTGCGCGTTTACTGAGCGCTTGAAACTGTCAGGCTGTAGCTGCGGGAGTGTCAAGCCTTGTTTTCTAACTGTAAAAAGGGCCCCGCTACGCACCTCCGTAGCAGCATTGGTGCCGATTTGCGCGTTTGCTACCCCCGTACATAACAAATAAATATATCTTGGATCTTCGTTTGGCATGTTTTTTGCTGTTCCCACCCCTGAACGGATGCTTTTCACCAAAACAGCCATTTTTGAGGAACCGCACGTTTTTTTGGAAACTTGCGTTCTTTTTGGGACCTTGTGCGCAAAAGTGTGAAACAGCAAGATTGCGGCCAAACAATTAGGCCGCACAACGGGCGCAATTCCCCGCACAAGGACGCAATTTCGCGCAAACGGCGCAATTTCAAGAAGCGTACCGTTTAGCTGTCCCTCTTCCTTTCAGTATTGATGCAAGCGCTTTTTGAGCAAACGGCATGGTTTTCACGAAAACGGACGGATTTATTTCCAAGCAGGAGAAAAAAAACAACAACGTGCAGTTGGAGATCCAGGATAATGTTATTTGCATAAATACATAACATAATGTAACACAGTATGTTCGTTGTGCGATAATATAATGTCCATGAGCAGGGGTGCGGGCAGTCTACATTCGCTGATTTGCAGGTTTACCCTGTCGTGTGCGTGAACAAAAAGCCGAACCCTTGCAAAGATGTGGCCGGAAGGATCCTGCAAGGAAGGCGGGCCTTTCTTTTCAACCATTGAAGGACCACAGGGCAAGCCTTCTGTGAAGTTGGCAGAGAACTCCAGCACGGCTTCTCCAACTCCCTGTCGCAATGCGGACGACTTGTGGCCGGGTTCGCCGCTTTGCGATTCTGGATTCAGCTTAAACTCCTGCCTCGGTTTGAACTTCCCTTCACAAGAAGCTATATTTTGGGTGGACATACCTCCGGGCTTCCTTTTTGAACCCTGGTGTCAATTTTCAACGCTACATTTGGACGATCCACGGCGATTCTTGGCCCAAAGATCTGCAGACCGCTTCCCAGGAGTTGGATCGCGAAGGATGGTGAAGAGGTCAAACAATTGATCCCCACCCAAACATGAAATCGTGGAATTCCGTTCATCGTTTCACTCACTTGCCCGAAGCGAATCGACCTTTTCACCTTTTGCTTTCCCGGTTTTGGCGTGGCCCCAGAATATGATCACCTTTAATTTCTGGGTCCTTGGGACAATCGAGTTCATTTCCCTGTGGGGAAGACTCGACGAAGGGAATGCACGGGGGACGCAGGTCCGCGCTTTTGGCAAAGACCTGAAACGGAGGTTGGCGGAGACCTCGAAGCAGCTCTTTGACCGTGCCACATTGGGCGGCTCGTCGTTTGTTTAGGGGACTCCCACAATGGCGATTGGTTGGATTCTCCTTTAAAGCCACCGGTCCAGCCTCAGAAGACGAGCCACCCACCAAGAATAGCGAGGAGATGTTTTCGCCACCGCCAGGCGCTGCTGAGCTGCGTGCGCCGGGCGCGCGACAGCGGCCAGGTGAGATCCGGCGGTTTTTTGTGTTGGCTTTGTTCTGTCGGGCCCTCCCAGAAGCTATTTTGAGAAACCTCGTGTTTGATCAGACGTGGTCAGAACATGATGTGGTCAAAAAGGTGTGCAAGTAAAATATGCAGATATGTAGAAGATAATGAGCCCTTTTACTTGTGGAATTAGAGATGACGATCCCCTGTCGTGGCGATTTCGAAGATGATACAGATCCGGATGGACATGACCATGGCCTACATCAGGATTTCTTACCATGGCGCAGAGGGGTGCTTGACAAAAAACATGGACAGGTGAGAGGGAATATCGGTCGCATGCATCCATGAGCGGCACTGACTTATCTTTGCCGCTGCGTTTTGGTTTGTTTGTGTTTTTTGTTTACAAAAAATGGGGTTAGAGTAGTCACTTGTTGTTCCTGCTCTCTGTAATGTGGGATCCAGTTGATGTTTGCAAGCAGGCACACCGAAGTTGCTGAGTGTCTAGAGGGCCTACCGGCCTTGCTGTTCCGAGTCTTCCATAGTTTTTGCACATATGCCACCGCAGCGCTTGCGGGCTGGGAGGAGCGCATCATGCTGGCAAATAGGCGGCCCGGCCAGCAAGCACACTCTTGCTTGATATCTTCAGTGATTCAGCTGGCTGCGAGAGCAAGCGAGACCGCCCCAATTCTGAGATGCCAGGGCACATGCAACCCCACGTGCCACACAGAGGGGATAAGGCGTGAGCTGCTGGCTTCTCGCTGCCATGCCCCGCCTGGCACAAGCCCTGCCGGAGGAGCACTTGATACCAAGAGCCTTTGCTGCACTTAGCGGGTTGACTCTTTTTAGGTGGCACATGGGCTAACTGGCTGAGCTTGGGGACGATTGATTAAATTGATTGGGCATTGTCCAGCGGAGGAAGAAGAAAGGTTGCGTTCTTTTTGCTTGCAGGGATCCTCTATCATATTCAATCACAACTGAAACAGATAAGCGAGAAAAAAAAGGCTTACGACTGCATTCTTGCATTTCAGCAGGGTTGAGCCAAATCTGAGGTTTGGCCTGTTCCATGCTTGGTCACGACTTGTCCTTCATGGTCCCAAATCCATCATCTTTGTTGCCAGTTGCCACCGCAGGGTTGGAATCTGGCTTCAAGCTTTTGGCAGCTTATCGGGTTTAATCCGTTGAACGTGGGTTTTCATTGACCAGCTGATGTCTTAAAACTGGGGATCGCTGAGTCTCTCGATTTTGCACGCGACAAGCCACAGCTTGGGTCAAGAACAGCTGAAGCTGATCCAGCAACAACTTGTTTGCCCAAAGCGGACCTTTTAACCTTTTGCTTTTCCCTTGTTGGTCCATGTTTTTTGCCAAAAAGGTTAACCTTGCATTTCTGGGTCCTTTGGGCAACCGAGACACAGGTATAGGGCCCTGAGAGCCTCTAAGACGCGGGGCCCTGTGAAAAGCGGAACCCCACGGATCGACATCTGAGGAGAATACCCAAACCTCAAGCCTCGGGAAGCTGGCCACAGCTTTTGCTTGGGACTCTCTGGTACTAAACTTGAGACGTGCGCTCAGGTGGGTAGTTTGCCTCCTTAAGGGAAGCACACACATGCTGTGGGTGGACGAGATCCGTTCGCACCCCATTGAATCCAAGGGAAACCATTGTGGGTATTTACAGGGGAATCATCATTTTCGTCCACCCACAGTATCAAGTGCCAAGCGTTGTGCCTTTCGCTAGGTGGCCACAGGAGCGCGGGCCGCTTGCTCGGGAGTGCAGCTGGCAGACCCTCAACACGTTTCAGAGGCATAAGCCAGTGGGCTCAATGCGCCTATTTTCAGGGCATCTGCTGCCGACTAACTGCTTGAAATCTTTTGAGTTGGTCGATCACCGATGTCCCAGCTAGTTTTGAAGGGAAACCAAAAAGGACACCAGGTGACCAGTCTCATTTTTGTTTGAGAAACGCAAGGCATTGGCAGGCCTTGCCGAACAGGAGCCAAGGGCCAGCAATGATGCATGCTTGTCTGAAGCCTCCAGATAGAGAGACTCCAGCGCCACCAATTCAACCTCCGAAGCGGGGAATGTCTACCCCGTGGAAGGCTTCCTTGCAATCCCTCCAAAACAACCCCAAAAAGGGCACCCTAAAAATTCACGCCATCACCAATTTGGAGTCATCCCGCGCTAGGGTTTGCATCAAAACGCCTCGAAATCAATCTCCAGAGGAGCTCCTTTCTGCTGGGGTGGCTGTGGAGAGACCCGCAGGGGGACTTGATGCCAGAGGTGCGGATGGAACCTAGCGAATTTTCCGGATCCACGCTGGCCAGTCGCATTTGCGGATCTACGGGAGAATCATGTTCAAACTCAGTAGCCTGAAAAGTGGCGCATAGAATGAGGGCCTTTTAAAGAGGGTTGGTACTAAGTAAAAACTGTTAAGCGATTCAAACATTGTACCTGAATCAGGGTCCGTGAGCAGGATAATCTTGCAGAAACCTTATTCTGGTGTGGCAGTTGTTGAGGGTAGCGACCTCACTGACTCACTCTGAGTCCACCTATTCTGCGTCGCTGCGCTTTGGATGTGCTTGGACCTGTTGCCAGTTTGGGAGAACCGGTGTTTTTCCACACGCCCGTAAACCCAAACTGGAAGAAAGAGCCACTCAGAGTAGGGAACCACGTGTTCGTTGGTTTTGCATGTTGACCTCCCTTGTGGTTGGACACCAAGGCTCAGTTCTCAGCTTCCCTTAAGTCCTGCTGAACTTTTGGCATGGACATGCCCAACAAGACTGGCCAATGCCGATGCCTATGGGTGCTTTGCTCACCGACGGGCTGAAAGGAGCTTAGCTACCATGACTTACCCGAAGATCACACATAATCACATATATTTTGTCAGGCTACCGGGATAAACCACGTAACAAGTGGGGTTTTTCCTTGTCCATCTACAGTGGAGTTGCTACAATGCCGCAGGTGCTCTTTAAGAAGATGCACCCACACCTTCGGGAGGAGATTTTAAAAAGGCTGGCTGTGGTCGATGTGGGGGTGTGTCTTTTGAGGTCCTATTGCTATCCTTTCTAGGTTTGGTTTCACCATCTTGTCGGTTCAGTAGGGCACCCCCAGTGAGTAGTTGTCCCGTGTAATCTGTTCAGCACCTTGCCACCCCCGAGTCCAGGAGCTCCCAATGGCTGTTTTCGCATGTTTATGTGCACTGTTTCCCGATCTTCAGGTTTTGAAAGCACACGTGGGAGATGAAGGCAGAAATCGCTGGTAAGTTGACTCATGGCAGCGGAATGTTCGGGCAGGACCTGTTTGTCTTGCACACTCGCAACGAGTGAGCAATGCCCAGAAGACGATTCGCCTCACTTCGCGGTGATTTTGACAAGTCCTTTTGACCGCGTCGGTAGCACCACAAGTCAATGGGATTTGGTTCCGCTTGCGCGAGAGACGCAGGTGAGAAGCAAATGTTTGACCACGTACTCGCCAGGCCAAAGCTGAAGCAACAGTTCGAGAATGACATTCGAACCGTGGTTGACGCCTACAAGAAGCAAGACTCGGTCGAAGATTTGCGCGACCTCGTCAATGAGAACCTGGGCTTTTGAATACCAAAAGCAGAAGAAACAAAAGTATGGACCAGCCGAGTGCCGCCGGAGCGTGGTGTCACTCTTGCTGCAATGTAAAATCAATCTCCTACGATGTCCGTGACCTGCCAGTTGCACTTTGGGTTCCCCTGCTCAGCACGTGCTCACTACTGGACCATTCCTGCGACAATGGGCAATGCAGAACAAACCTAAGTTCAGATATTGAATTTGAAGAGCGTGTTACTTGCTCTTGCATCATGGCAATGTCTCGGGCTGAGGAATATGGAAGACTTGAACAAAAGGATTGAGACAGAAGGCCCTGAGCACATGTGACTTGGCTACCGGATGCAGAGGGGGGCTTTCCTCCTTTTAATAAATAGACCCTAATAAGTACTACTTTTTTCCACCGGGTCCCCAATACCTCTTTTTGCATAGCCCAATTCAATACCAATACTAAACTGTCCGATGTCTCCGCCCAGACCAGCCTTATTCCGGGGCTCCTTGCACCAACCCAACACGAATTTCTAAATGCATCCTTGCCTTGTACTAATTTACATGTTCTTCTTCAATTTAAATTATAAGTTTACACTGCTCCCTTTGCTTTTGAACCGCAAAAAAGAGAAAACAACCTTGAACGGTTTTACATTTATTCGTTACTCGGACAATTGCGGTCCGGGAAGGGGGATCCCATTTGGACGAGGACCGAAGAGGAAATCCGGTCGACCCCGCAGGACCCTATGAAATACGTTTTGTCCCCCAGAGAGCATTTATTATTGGGGGGGGTCCGCGTTTATTATTAGTGGGAAGGGATGCGGTGGTTTCAGCTGGTTTTCCCCGTGTAGCTGTTGCTTTAGAGACACGTGCCCCAAATATTCTGAGTATGGGACCAAGGGAACCCCCAAACTGCTGTGTTTACCATGGTTTGGTTGATTATGGTTGGCTTGCAATACAGGGATATCCCCTTAGAGCTGGACCTCCTGCCTCGGTCGCTTGAGCGTTGATAGACATGTCATTTCTTCAGCTGCAGTGTAAGCCGGGCGCGCAGCCCGCCGTTTGGGTCAAAACGAACGTTCAAGACTAGCAGGGTTTGTCTTGTTCGGAGGGCACCCTTCATTAGAAGGTGTTCATATTATTTTGAGATCTGGAGCGGTCCCTTATTTTGGGACCATGGAGCCTACCAGGTTTGCTCTACCTACTTGGAGTCTCAGATGCTTCAACATCTGAGTTTCTATCAGACGCCTGTAGGGATTCAAATGGGCGAACATTTTAGCCACCTGAGTATGGGTCAGAATCAAATCGGAATTGGACAGGTTTTATTTACCAGGGCAACCCATCTTGGGTATCATTTGACCCACGGTTCAGGGCAACCCATTTTGGGGTTTCCCATTGGATCCATTTGGGGTTATTCGATCTTTGACAACCACACCCACCCATTAGGACCAAGAAAAAACTGTGCCGCGCTCCAAGGCAGCAACTCCTGCGGCACTTGAAGCACTACTCCCAGTGCCTTGACTCGAAGTCGACCGCCCTTTGGCCCATGGGGAAGTAAAAAGCCCTGCGGTTCTTGTGGCACAAAGCATGCAGATCACACCCTGAATTCATGGACTTTAGTCATTGTTTGGGCTAGATTGGACCATTTGAGTGGCATACAACAAGTTTGGTGACATGTTTTTGGCCCATCCACTCAGGAAGTGAGGACATGCCACACTGGGGTAGCAACCTGCTTTGCAATGAGAAGCCAACTTCGTCTTTCTTGACAGCGCATTGCTTGAAATTATGTTAGCTAGCTGCTGGGCTTTTGTGTTTTGACATTTGCTGGGTACACGGCTTGTGCTGTCCGTGCTAGACGTTCGAAATCAAGGCAAACGCTGAGCAAGCCGGACATTAGTGTTTTTGTTTTGCCCGCACAAGCGGCAATGTTTGTGTTATTGGTGTTTGTTTGTTTTTTGTTGGGGGGGTCAACGTGAACCAATGGAGTTCGAGTGCTAACTGTTGCATTTGCACTGGTCCACAAGAATCACATGGAATTCCACAATTTGACGGAAGGAACCCAAACAATTGCTCCAAAACAAGATAGCTTATGAACATGACGGAATTTGTTTCCATGTCTCTGGAGCACTCCTTTACAAACCACGCACGGTTGAAAAAGAGGAAGTCACCTTGTTTGTGGCAAGCCATGCGTTGTCTCTCTCCGGCAACAAGTTGGAGTCACATTAGTCGGACCCACGCGTGCCGGCCATGGTACAGCAGAGGAGAACAGGAGGTTATGTGACCACCGAAGTTGCTTGCGTAAAAACATGGTTCAGCCACCAAAACAGGTTTCGTATGGGGGCGGATGGGCATGAGGGTTGCTCAGACATGGAAGTCTGACTCACAGCGGTAAGCTCATGTCACCTATTGCCCGAGTCACTCTTTGAACCAATCGACGGTGGATGTATCAAGATCTGCACCTGACATATCCATTGCGAGTGATACTGACGGATGTTAGTTAGCTCAGATGGAAACATCAACTGTCAACTTGGGCTCGGTCGAAAAGCTAGACAAAGTCACAGGGCGCTTTCTGACAATTGCAAGCAGGTGGTGCCCCTAGTTCTGTATTTATGTAGTTTTCACCTCAAGGTCGTGGCTGAAGGGACACGTAGCATCAACAAATAATTCCTTCTAAACGTGCTTTGCCCTCCTGTGGGGGGCGGGGGGGGGGGGAACCGGGGTTTACGTGTCATATTTGCTTACTGGAGTAAAGGGTTGAATCCTAGAAGTCCGGTTGCAAACCCGAACTGGGCCACTGACAGCCACCAGAATCCAGAGAACCTAGGGACTGTTTTCACGCACCGAAGCGGTGAAAGCGAGTCCGCATGTCCGAATGTCGTGACCCCTAAATGGGGTTTATTAAATGGGTGTTGGAGGATGCTGTCGGTTTAGTGCTCTATGATTTCCATTCACACATCCACGTGTTCGATCGGAACCTGTTGATCGGTGAATCGCTGCTAATGGGTCAATGGGTCCCCGAGCATTGGCTGAGGTTTCAGGGCATCGCCTATCCTTTGCTGCTGTCTCCCAAGAGCGCATGCTTGATTGGCCTCGAACCAGGCAGGGTCTGTTCCCCCTACAGCTCCATTGGGAACAGTCACAACGTAATCTCATTTTGGCATCGATCCTTCCTATTTATTTGTTTGGCATGGTAGATTTTGGGACAGGCCCGTGGGAGCGGATAAGACGAGCTCACCGAAGGTGGTTGCCTTCCCTGATCTTTACCTCCCAAACTGGCCTATGCCTGTCCGGCGTACCAATTTGAATCTGACAACAAGTCCCCATGCAGGTTACGAAGCCGCTTCGACGGCTTTTCTTTGGTCATTTTTCCAAGGGATGTTAGGACTTTAGCTTTTTGCCAACTAATGGGTTTTCCATTAAACGACCAAAAGTTGAACTTTTAGCAGAGCAGAAAGCCACCAAGGTCTGCCCTTAAGGTGTGTCTCGGGCTCCTGGGGATGTCGTTTTCGCGCCAGGCCTGGCGCGACGAGTGAGGCCTTCCAGATTTCTGTAG